TCTGTCCTCATGTGGTGGAAGGGGTGAGGGAGCTCTCCAGGGTTTCTTTTATAAGGGCACTAATCCCATTTCTTTTTTTCTTTCTTTTTTTTTTTTTGAGAAAGTCTCACTTTGTTGCCCAGGCTAGAGTGAGTGCCGTGGCGTCAGCCTAGCTCACAGCAACCTCACACTCCTAGGCTCAAGCAATCCTCCTGTCTCAGCCTCCCGAGTGGCTGGGACTACAGGCATGCACCACCATGCCCGGCTAATTTTTTCTATATATATTAGTTAGCCAATTAATTTCTTTCTATTTATAGTAGAGACAGGGTCTCGCTCTTGCTCAAGCTGTTTTCGAACTCCTGACCTCGAGCTATCTACCCGCCTCGGCCTCCCAGAGTGCTAGGATTATAGGCATGAGCCACTGCGCTGGCCACTAATCCCATTTATGAAGGTGGAGCCTCAGGTAATCTAATCACATCCCAAAGGCCCCACCTCCAAATACTATCACTCTGTGGGTTAAGATTTCAACGTATGCATTGGGAGGGGGCACAAACATTTTGTCTATAGGAAGTAGAGTAGGAGGACAGATGGTTGTCCATATCAGGGAGATTTTATAGCAAAGGCTTATTTCTCTCATGTGTGACCAAAGGACATCATAGGACTCTGATTCTTGGGCCCTTTCTGCTGTTCCAATCACAGCTCTTCCTTAAAGCCATCCCTAACAGCTGCTATTTGAGCAGTTTCAAGCAGCCACCAGCTTCCCCAAGAGAGCTCTTCTCTGACCACTTACAGTCCTTAGAGTCTGAGTCACCATTCAAACACTTGATTGTTGGTCTTATTCTTTAGCTGTTTTATATGTTAGTTATGTTTTCCCCAACAAAATTAACTCCTGTTTCTCTTGTTCTTCATTTCTTACACCAGTAAATACTTGTTGGCTGATTGATCACACTGATAAAAGAACAAATGATCAAAAATATAGCAAGAAAGCTATTAGGGAGACTTAGAAACAGAGTATTGTATAGAACAAAATCCAAGTTGCCAGTCTGTGAGGTGTGGAATCTGTCCCATTTCTTACCAACTCCACTCACGAATCCCTTTTGAGTTTTCTCATGTGAATTGAAGTCTGTGTCATTATCGCGATCTCTCCAATGAACTAGCATGCTAGGGATGGGGGATGGGACATGACACGCCAGCCCAGCCTGGCACTGCTGGTTACTGCTCATCAGTACCACCATGTGGCCTGTGGGGACATATGGCAGTCCAGTTGTCTAGCTCAGCTATGGAATCCTGAGCCCAGTCAAGAAGTTGGTAGAGGCTTAAAATGATGATATCTGTTCAGGTGGCAGAAATAAATATTTTGTTGGAACATGGTTGCATTTATAAAACTCACAAGAGAAAACAGGAACTTCTAACTCCCTGGAAGGAGGAAAGCCTCTTGGTACTTTGAAGACAAAGGACAGTTCTGTTCCAAAAAGGGTATGGATATCATTATTCCAAGAAGTGATATAGACAGAAATCACTAGGGGGTTTCAAAAACAATTAGTTTATGTTTGTGGATGACAGATCCAGTCTTTCTCTAAGGCAAATTAGTGATGTTTGAGGATACCCCTGACTTTTGAGGTCAGTATAGGGAATTACCATCAAATCTTATAGCTTATTCCTGTCAGAGATAGACTTCCAGCTTACTGCAATTACGGGACTAACTAGGGAGGTATTAAAAAAAATTTAATTGATGAATAAAAATTATATATATCTATGGTATACAACATGATGTTTTGATATATGTATACTTTGTGGAATGGCTAGATAAAGCTAATTGATATATGCTTTATCTCACATACTTATTATTTTTTGTGGTGAGGACACATAATATCTATTCTCTTAGCAATTTTCAAGTATACAGCATATTGTTATTAACTATAGTCCCCATGCAGGGCAATAGGTCTCTTGAAATTATTCTTCCTTACTGAAATTTTGTGTTCTTTGATCAACATCTCTCTAATTCCCCCTAGCCTAGAGGGGTTTTTTAAAATTTATTTATTATTATTATTATTTTTGAGACAGAGTCTCACTCTGTTGCCTGGGTTAGAGTGCCGTGGCGTCAGCCTAGTTCACAGCAACCTCAAACTCCTGGTCTCAGAAGATCCTCCTGCCTCAGCCTCCCAAGTAGCTGGTACTACAGGCATACGCCGCCATGCCTGGCTGATTTTTTCTATTTTTCAGTAGAGATGGGGTCTCGCTCTTGCTCAGGTTGGTCTCGAGTGCTAGGATTATAGGCATGAGCCACTGCACCCAGCCAGAGGGGTGTTTTTTTAATCCTAACTTTTGATGACAGACGCTACCAGTTGTAGTTCCCAGTAGTCTTAGCTACTTACTGGCTCTTGAAGTTTCCCTTTACTCAAAGTAGAAAGGCCTGCTGGTCCCACATCTGCATTCCCAGCCACACCCACTCACTAGAGACAACTGGCTGCCAGTAGCCTCATCTCTGGAGGAGAACAATACAATGGGCCTGTTGTGTACTTGTTGACATACAGAATGGATTGTTTTAGCAGGTGCAGAATATAGTCTGTGTGGAGATTACAGAGACCTTTATCCTTGATAGTGTAGCGTAATTCAAATCTAAGTTGTCCTTTGTCTGGCCTATAAGCAAGTGTTGGAACTGGACTTAGTTAAGCTTGGGTCCTTCTGTGCAGGGGGCCAGCATTAATTTTGAATTTTTTTTATTGTTTTACTAGTTTTGTATCTTTTCCCTTTAATAAAAAATTAAACTCTTTTTGGTGACCAATTCGATAGGTCTGATTTTTCTAAGACTTTTGATTGGAGACTGTATACCCATGGCAGTTTGAGTCCTGGAGACACTACTACTTTGTTTGCAAGAGTGATCTTAGTGATGGAAAGTGACTAGGAAGATGGCTATTTGCTGTTAGTGTGGTGATTTCACTTGGCTTATTCATGGAAGGAAACCTCATGTTCCTCCTGTGTCCTTTGGGTCCCTGATAGGTGGAGGTGATTTACATTTCTGAATTCTCATTTTGATTATCTGTACCAGTGAGGAAACGCAATGAAAAAGAGGATAATACACAAGCTAGCGATATTCAAGAACCTTGATTACCCCAAACTCAGCTGTCAGATCGTTTAGTTCCCCAAATTTTTCTCCCTACCCTTGGCTTTTAGAAGGAAGTAAATCATTAAAAAGCAAGCTAAGACTAAATATTTTGTTAAAAATAAGCAAGCAAACAAAAAAGCCACTAAAATCATCTTCTAGGTTCAATACCTATGTTCACCTTCATCACAAACTGCTTAGCCTAATATACACTTGGTTTGCATCCCTCCATGCAGTTGTGTGTGTGTGTGTGTGTGTGTGTATGTGTGTGTGTGGCGGGGAGATGGGGGAGGCTCTCATGGGGGTTGTTCCAAAACTGCAGCAGATATACAACCCGGGGTTAAACATTTGCTCTGAATGGATAGCAGCTTGCTTATTCCCTATGCTGATGAGATAAGCTTTTTCCTTTAGCTTACTTTCTCTGCTCTCCCTCTGCTCCTTGCTCATCCACTTATAGTTTGCCTCCAAGTGAGATCTCTGTTTTCAAGGAGAAATGTGCCTCAGGAGGAGGACAATAAAAATAGGTCAGTGATAACTCTCATCACATATTCCCATTTATTTGGTTTGAAATTCAGTTCAGATCAACAAGTATTTATTGATAGCTTTGTTCCCTTATTTGTATTTAGCTCTGGGAAGATATAGAATCACGATGTTAGCAGCTAACATTTACTTAGCATTTACTATGTGTCAAGTGCAGTTCTGAGCACTTTATTTCTATGAGTGCATTTGATCCACACAGTGACCCCATCAAGTACTGTTATTATTCTCATTTTTCAGATAAAGAGACTGAAGTTAACTAAGTCATCCAATTAGGAGCTGGTAGAGCCAGAATTCGAATGTAAGCATTCTTGGTCCACTGAGACCAGGTTCTTGCTCTTACAAAGTCCAGTTGGGGGAGATGCAATCAACATACTGAGAAATAGCTGGGAAATCATACAAGGATCTGGAAGTGAGGACTACAGGGAGTAGAGAATGGAGAGATTAGTACAGCTTAGCATAGGCCTTTCGGAGGAGTAAGACTTCTCTAAGTCCCAAATTCTTCATCTATCAAATGGGTGTAATGGAATCTGCTTAATAGGTTTAGTGTGAGAACTGGACAAGATAATGTATATAAAGAGCTTAGTGCAATGCCTGACATATGGTGAACACTCAATAAATTGTAGCTGCGATGATAACAAAGATGATACCTGAAAGATGAGTAGAGTTGGGATATACAGAGAGGAAGAGGAATGGTGCATTATGAGGAAAGAGGGGAGTGAACATGATGTTGGGAAAGGGTACTAAAGAGATAAGATTTTCTTATTCCCTTGCTGATGGTCATTAGTCACCTGCTAGTTGAGTTAATTAAGGAGACAAGAGGAATGGATGTTGCAGAGTCAGCAGCCCTGAAGCTTTTCACTGGTCTTGAAGCCAGCTTAGAAACCCTCTGCCTGACACTGTGAGCCTCCTTCCTCATTGGTCCTCATCTTTTCTCCCGCCTCATTGAGCTCAGCCCTAATGCCAGATGAGTGGGTATGAAAAATCCTGGACATTCCTAGAGTGAGATCAACCTGTGGTGCTTACAAATCCAGGTTCAGTTGCCTTCCTGTCCTTAGCAAGTGTGAGCCTTTTCTAAGGCAGAGGAAATGTGCCTCCCAGCAGGCTGACAGGACTGGGCTTGGCAGGAAAAGGGAGGTCCTTTGAGATTGTCTTTTACATGTTATAGGTAGCATCAATCAATGAAGTATTTGTCAAGCTCCCACTATCTGTAGAACCATATGTTAGGAGTTTTGGATAATTCAAGAGAGGTAAGAAACACAGTCCTTGTCCTTGAGGTGCTGCTGGTTTTGTTGTGGAGATCAGGTTGACACAGTAGTTAACAGTTGGAGATCAGCATAGTGTAGGTATAATTAAATATTGAATTGCCTACTTTCTTCAGGTGCCGCTACCTGGCTGTTCAGCTGTCTCCTGCCATCCCTGTGTTTGCTGCCATGCTCTTCCTTTTCTCTATGGCTACGCTGTTGAGGACCAGCTTCAGTGACCCTGGAGTGATTCCTCGAGCACTACCAGATGAAGCAGCTTTCATAGAAATGGAGATAGGTGAGTCTCCCAACCAGCTGGCAAGCTGCTGTGCAGTAGGTGGCTGTAATCAATAAGAGAATGGAACCATAATAGTAGTTGCACATTAACAATCACTTCTAGCCTTCTCACTCTGAGATCATGACCATCTTGTGAATTTGGTAAGGCAGGTGTATTCTCCCTTCCATTTGGTTACATTTCAGAAAGGATTTGTTACCAAGGTCCCGCTGCATTATTTCCAAGAGGATGGTTTGGTTTGGTTTGGTTTGGTTTGTTTCTTTTCTCTCTTTCTCTCTGTCTCTCCCCCCTCCCTCCACTCCCTTCTTCCTTTCTGTCTATCTGTCTTCCTATATTGCTCAGGCTGCTCTTGCACTCCGGGGCTCAAGCAGTCCTCCTGCCTCAGGCTCACAAGTAGCTGGGACTATAAGCACAACCTACCACACTGGGCTGGTTTTTTGATGAAAGCCATAAACCTCCCCATAAAAAAATATTCTTATATGCATGCGTATACACACAATTTTGGATATAATTTCAGAGATTCATAGATCTTCTGAAGCACATTCATGCCTTCTACCTCCCACCAAAAATTCCTACTTTAGGAGAACATGCACAGTGAGAAGGGAGCACTTATGGAGCCGGGAACCCCTGAGGGTTCTAGAAAGGGTAAAATAAGCAATTGCAGGCTCAGTTCAGTACAGACTGTAGCTCAAGATAAGAATCTTTGTGACAGAGATGATGTGCTACACTATCCAGGAGCCAGGGTGGCTTCATGAATGGAAGCAGAATATCCCAGGGCTAGAGGAGGGAGATATCCTGTGAGCTCAAAATGGGAAAGAAAAGTATGATGTAAGTGTGAGGGGAGTGGGAGTCCACCAGATCAATAGCAGTGCCTACCTAATAGTTCTCAAGTTCATTACTAAGTTATGCCAGTAGAGCACCAATCTGTGGCTAGCCTTTAGTTCTTTGAGGGCTATTTGAAGGCTTACATGCTTTTGTATTTCTTTTGTTTATTTTAGCTGTGTTCCCCTAGCTTCTTAGTAGATTTCTTTGTGAAACATTCAGGCCTGTTTTAGTTGAGCTAAGGAGAAATTGATTTGTACACATGTGAGCTAGAGCTACTTGGGGGTGGGGTAAGGGTGGGAATAGTGGGGGAAAAAGCAGAGGCAAGGTGTGTTAGCATAGTTGGAATTCTGGGGAGACCTGATAGAACTGGAGTTCATTAGGAACAAGATGGTGATGTTGAGGAAGAGTTGTGAGTGCTGTTTTTCTCCATCTTGGTTATTCTTTTATAGTCCCCTCTCCATTCACATATAGAGAAACCGAGGGTCAAGACTAGTCTCTTGCATCTCACAGCAGGTTTTGATTAACAAGGTTAGCTCTTTTCTGCCCGATCATCGGGCCTGGGGCCCAGATTCAAGCCGTCACATTGTGACTTCTGCATTTAGCATGTTTCTTTCAATAGAAGAGTACATTCTTGAGTTCCTATGTATGTTTATGTTAGCAAGTTTTTGTCTGCTTATATTCAGCCTGGTACTGAGTATGCTGTGGGTGGGGGATGGAGAAAGAAGTCATGTGATTTGTTTGCCTCTTAGTGCCTCCTGAGGACAGTGAACTATGAACTCTATCTCCCAGGTGCCCTCATGTAAAGCATATGCAAAGGAATATTAAGGTAGCATGTTGGTACTTATCCTCTAATGAATAGTCCCCATCCTTTTAAGACTTGTGACACACTGTTATTGTTTGATTTCACAGCATCCACCCCACTCCACAAAAAAAGGAAAAATGTTCCATATGGCAGATATTTTTAAAATCAAAGTGAATTGAAAAATATTCTGTTTTTAGAATTATACTGCATGGTGAGGGTGTAACAAGATAGGCACTCTCATATGCTGTGGATGGGCAGGAGTGCAAATTCATACAGTTTGTCTGAAAAGCAATTTAGTAATAAGGAATATGGGCTTTAAGAGTTCATACCCTTTGACCCAGTAATTCTACTTCTCTAAGGATTTAGCTAAAGGAAATAATTAGAGATTTTTACAAATTACTGTAGAAGAATTTTTAGTGCATCATTTTTTTCTTCTTCCTATTTTTTTGGTGTTTTTTGTTTGTTTGTTTGTTTGTTTGAGAAGGGCAGTGGCACAATCATAGCTCACTGCAACCTCAAAATCCTGGGCTTAAGCAATTCTCCTCCCTCAGCCTCCCAAGTAGCTAGGACTACACATGCATGCCACCATGCCTAGCTAATTTTTTTATTTTTATTTTTTGTAGAAATGGGGTCTCATTTTGTTACCCAGGCTGGTCTCAAACTCCTGGCCTCAAGTGATCCTCCTGCCTTGACCTCCCGAAGTGCTAGGATTCTACTGTTCCCTGCCTCTTTTTCCTTTTTATAATAATATAAATACCTATTTTAATGCCAGCAACTTCATATATTACTGCTCAGACTTCAACATGCCCTTCTTTTTTCTTTCTCTTTTAGAAATTAATTTTAACACATGAATATATTCTTGGAAAGAAGGAGGGGACTGGGATTAGGGTAGAAATCAAAGGGAATTTAAGCTTTTATCTGTAATGTTTTAAGGTTTTGTATGCAATATCATTTAAATAGTAAAAAATCAGACACAACTTAAATGTCCAACAACATGGAATGTTTCAATAAATTATAGTACATATATATGATAGAATATTGCCAATAATGATGTTTTAGGAAAAAATTAACCATGGGAAATGTTCATATTATAATGTTAGGTAAATAATTCATAGTATAAAATTGCATTTGTAATATAATCTCTAATTTTTAAAAATCATGAATGTTATCTGTGAAGAGAAGATTGGGAGGAAATATACCAAAATGTATGAATATCTCAAGTTGGGGGACTGTCAGTAATTGTATATTTTCTTATTTATATTTTGTTTTTTTCCAACTTTTTCACAATAAGCATATATTACTCTCATTTTAATAACTGTTTTTCTAATTCTAATTATTACCAGTCTTTTTTCATGCATATGTTTTATATTTGTAAGATAGTATTCTTTTATATATATTGCTTTTTAGCATGCATTTTCTTTCTTTTTCTTTATTTATTCTTTTTTTTTTTCTTTTTTTTTTGCCTAAAACTATGGTGTTCAATATTTATTCTTTTTTTGAGACAGAATCTCACTCTGTTGCCCTGGCTAGAGTGCTGTGGCCTCAGCCTAGCTCACAGCAACCTCAAACTCCTGGACTCAGGCGATCCTACTGCCTCAGCCTACCGGGTAGCTGGGACTGCAGGCATGCACCACCATGCCCGGCTAATTTTTTCTATATATCTTAATTGTCCAATTGATTTTCTTTCTATTTTTAGTAGAGATGGGGTCTTGCTCTTGCTCAGGCTGGTTTCGAACTCCTGACCTTGAGCAATCTGCCCACCTTGGCCTCCCAGAGTGCTAGGATTATAGGCATGAGCCACCGCTCCCGACCTGCATTTTCATTTTGTGATATATTTTGAGTATTTTTCTATGTCACCATTCGTTCATCTATATCATTTTAAATGGCTCCATAATACTCCATTCGATGCATATATCATAATTTACTTAACCAACCTCTTATTGTAACATTCAGGTTATTTTTAGTTTTTCACTATTAAAAGGGACTCTGTGACAAATATCCTTGTAAACATCTTTTGTATATCTCTTTATAATTTTGATAAGTTCCTAGAAGTAGAATTGCTAAGTCAAAGAGTATACACATTTATGCGCTCAACATACTTCTGCTGTGCAACTCTGCTTACACATTTAAATCTTTGGTGGCTGCTGCCATATTGCTCACTGGTAAGCTATAAGAATGGCCTTTGTCCACCCTCGCCAACACTGGGTATTTTTAGTCTTTTTACTATTTGTTACTATAATTGATAGAAATAGTATCTTTGTATTTTAATTTTTATTTCTCTGATTATTAGTGAAGTTGGATGTTTTCATTTCATATATTTTTTAGCCATATTTTCTTTTATGAAGGTTTTTGTATGTGCACAACAGAACTGCATGGCACTCAGTGGAATTTTTTTGTGGGGGACACTCTGCAATGTTAAAAGTATAGTGTGGAAATGCTCACCTGGAGAAGACAGCAGGCTAAGGGAACCTTTGATCACCCTCTTCCCCCATTGCTTTTGGAGAGGTGGTGAGACTTTGGGGCTCAAATAATGGCTAGCTGTCAAGTTAACTGTCTTTACTGATTTACAGAAGCTACCAATGGTGCGGTGCCTCAGGGCCAGCGACCACCCCCTCGTATCAAGAATTTCCAGATAAACAACCAGATTGTGAAACTGAAATACTGTTATACGTGTAAGATCTTCCGGCCTCCCCGGGCCTCCCATTGCAGCATCTGTGACAACTGTGTGGGTGAGTAAAACCAAGGGATGTTGCCTGGGAGAAAGGCTGAGTTGAACAAGAAAGTCAGGGTGGTCACCAATTCTTGGGAAAAATTAGTCGGGGTGGGAAGATAGGTAGATGGGAAACAAGCTAGATTTAGATAGGAAACAAACTCCTAAACAACTGCAAATCAAATATACTTGTGTAGATCAATTTATAATTTAAATATCTCCTAGTCTAAAATTAAAATAAAGCCTTTTTGGTAAATGGGAAAATAAACTTCACCTGTTTTTGAAATCTAGATTTTCCTCTACTGGATCTGTTGCATGTTGGGCCCACCTTACAGAGGGGAGGAAAATCCTAGTCCACTGGAGGGCAGTATTGAGGAAGGAAGGCCTATTATATAAGAAGTAGTATTCCCAAGAAGAGGAAAGTTGCTAGAATTTATTGAGTTTCTACTACATACTGGACACTGTGCTAAGTGATTTCCCTTTCTCTCATTTAAGACAAGTAACAACCCCGTGAGATCGGTATTATCCCCATTTTACAGATGAGGAAATAAGTGTAACACCTCTGTGTAAGTTCCTGTAATTTGTATGTGATGAAGCTGGAAAAGGGGTGATACCAAACTGCTCATTTCTTCTATCTTTGCTGCTGCTGCAAGTGTGTCAGGTGTATGTCTGCATAATGCAGGGGTCTGTGCTTCCATCCACATATATGTAGCTTAGTTGTAATCACTGCCTACTGTGTGCTGAACCCTGGGAAAGATCAGAAACAGGCCATAAATATTCCTCTTGATAGGCATATATGTGAAATTGCTTATATTAATACTAGGCATACTTAATATTCTGTATAACATGTAGCATGTCTGAGGACATTGCTCTCCTCTTACTAGCCAATTCTTTTATTTTAATAATATAATAATATAATATATTTAATATTATATAACTGTATACTATAATATATATATAATATATATATAGAGAGAGAGAGGGAGAGAGAGAGACAGCATCTCACTCTGTTGCTTGGGCTAGAGTGCAGTGGCATCATCATGGCTCACTGCAGCCTCAAACTCCTGGGCTCAAGTGATCCTCCTGCCCCAGCCTCTCAAGTAGCTAGGATTATAGGCACATGCCACCACGCCTGGCTAATTTTTCTATTTTTTGTAGAGTCTGGGTCCCACCATATTGCTCAGGCTGGTCTCAAACTCCTGGCCTCAAGAGATCCTCCTGCCTTGGCCTCCAAAAGTGCTAGGATTGCATGCATGAGCCTATATGTACATAGGATTTTTATAAATCAAAAGTCATTTTCAGTTAACCAGGAAACTTGATATTCAAAGAAGGTATGATGTGAGGTTTTCATAAAGAATTCCCTCTTCTTATTAATAATATTCTTAACTATAAATAACTCATATAAATCATTTTTATTAAAAAAACACTAACATTCAAGGAGAAATATGAAGAGTATAAAATAGGAATTGACTCATTAACATGAAAAAATGTCTGTCCATACTAATCAAATAAATATTAAAAGAGAATGCTTTTTTAAATCTAGAAAATTAGCAAAGAAAACCTGATAATACATAGTCCTACACTGGTAAGAGTAGAAATTGGAAAAAACTCTTTGGAAGACAACCTAATAAGATCCATCAAAAGCTTTAAAACATGTATACCCTTTGATGCCAGTGATTCACTTTCTATGGACTCTATCCCATGAAATCAAGATATGGTAAGATATTTAGGAATGGAAATCCTAAGTAAACCTCAGGATTATTATAATGAAAAGTTGGAAAGAACCTGATAGATAAGTGGATAAATAAATTTGGGGCATTCATACAATAGACTTTTGGAAAGAGCTCATACCAGAAAGGTAAATGACATAAAACAGGAAATAGGCTGCATTTGCAGTGTGATCTCAGTTGCATATGTTAAAAATATAAGAATGTGTGAAGAAATATGCAAGGAAATACACCAGGATGTTTATAGTTCATTATCTATAGTTTGTGGGATTATGAGTGATTTTATTTCCTTCCTTTTTCTTTTTTTTTAAGTTTTCTACAATGAGCATGTATTACTTGTATTATTAGAAAAGGTGTGATTTAAAATACAGTAAAAAAGATATATTTGTATAGCCATTCTTCTCTACACTTTCCTTCCCTTTAACCAGGAGATGTACCACTCTTATAGCCTTATTTTTTGGCCAGTACACAGCTCCCTATTTTTTAAAAATGAGATATTTTATTATTTGTAGTTTTTTCTCTTTTCTTTTTTTTTTCTTTTCTTTTCTTTCTTTTTCTTTTATTTCTTTTCTTTCAATTTGCTCTGTCACCCTGGCTAGAGTGTAGTGCAGTGACATCATCACAGCTCATGGCAACCTCAAACTCCTGGGCTCAAGAGATCCTCCTGCCTTAGCCTCCCAAATAGCTGGGACTACAGGCATGTACCACCCTGCCCAGCTAATTTTTCTATTTTTTGTAGAGATGGGGTCTTGCTCTTGAGTTCAGGCTGGTCTTGAACTCCTGACCTCAAATGATCTTCCTGCCTCAGCCTCCCCGAGTGCTAGGATTACAGTCGTGAGCCACCTCACCTGGTCTATTTGTAGTTTTTTTTATTAATTAAAATAATACATGTTCATTGTAGGAAATATGGGAAGTACAGAAAGTTTAAATAAAAGTTAATCTTAAAATCACTCTCCATTTGGCAATATTTCCTTCCAATCTTTCTGTGAAATTAGACCACATATGATAGAGTTTTTAATCCTGCTTTTGTCATTTAACATCCTATCCTGAGCATTTTTCTACATCTTAATAAATGTTTTTTAAATATATATATTAATGACTACATAATTTATCATATTTATTTAGGTAGTCTCCTGTCATTAGACATTATTCACTCTTCGATTTTATTCATTATTATAACACTACAATCAAAATTATTAAATTTAAGGATGTGGAAAAATTGGAACCTTCATACATATCTGGTGGGAATGTAAAAGGGTGCAGCTGCTGTGGAAAACAGTTTGGCGGTTCCTCAGAAAGTTAAATATAGAATTACCATATGACCCAGCAATTCCACTCCTGGGTATATACTCATATTAGTCTGCTCTGGCTACCATAACAAAATACCACAGACTGGGTGGCTGAAGCAACAGAAATTTATCTTCTTATTTGAGAAAGTTTTTTTTATATGAGAAAGTTCTGGAAGCTGGAAGTCCAAGATAGAGGTGCCACCAGGGTTGGTTTTTGGTAGGTCCTCTCTGGCTTGCAGATGGCTGCCTTCTTGCTGTGTCCTTACATGGCCTTTTCTCTGTGCTTACACACTCCTGGTATCTCATCTTCTTATAAGGACACCAGTCCAGTCCTTTTGGATTAGGGCCCCATCTGTATGACCTCATCTAACATTAGTTACCTCCTTAAATGTTCTATCTCCAAATACAACTGCATTAAGGATTAGGGCTTCAACATGTGAATGGGGGGGGCATTCAATCCATAACATACCCAAAAGAATTGAAAAGAGGGACTCAAAACATATTTGTACACCAATGTCCATAGCATCATTATTCACAATAGCCAAAAGGTAGAAACAATCCAAGTGTCTATCAACAGATGAATGGATAAACAAAATCTGGTATATACATACAATGGAATATTATTCAGTTATAAAAAGGAATGAAGTACTGATACATGCAACAACATGGATGAACCTTGAAAACATGTGAAAAGAGCGAGACACAAAAGAACAAATATTTTGTATGATTCCACTTATATTAAATATCCAGTTTAGGCAAATTCATAGAGAAAGAAGATTAGGGGTTGCCAGGGGTTGGGGGAAGGAAGAAATGGAGAGTTACTGCTTAATGGACACAGAGTTCTGTTTTGGGTAATGAAAACGTTTTGGAAATAGATAGTGGTAGTGGTTCTACAACATTGTAAATATAATTAATGCCACTGAATTGTACAGCTAAAATGGTTAAAAGGGCAAGTTGTATGTTATATATATTTTACCACAATAAAAAGTTAATAAAAATTATTGAACATAAAATTTCTGCAATACATTTCTATTTCCTTCTGAGAAATTACTGAAAATGGACTTAATTCTTCCACAGAGGTACGAATATTAAAGGCTCTTGATTCGTATTGTCAAATTGCTTTCTGAAAAGGTTCTCTTAGTTTTTACTCCCACAAGCAGTATATTAGAGTGTTTTACTTTATTCTCACTAGCACTGGATATTATTATTTCTGTTCTTATTTTGATAGGCAAAAAAGTATCAAAGTATCTTATTTTACTAGTATTACACTAAATTATTAGTGAGTGTGAAAAAATTAAATATATGTTTATATGATATTCATTAACTATTTTTGCCCTATTTTCTTTTTTTTGGTTTATTTTTTGTTTTGTTTTGTGTACAGTTGGCCTTTCAACAACATGGGTATGAACTGCTGGGGTTCACTTATATGCGGATTTTTTCCCCCAATAAATACAGTTGGCCCTCCCTATTGGCAGGTTCCACATCACAAACTGGATGAAGGGCGCACTTATAACTTTGACTCAAACTGTACAAAAGCAAATTATGTAACTAAAATGTGTATATCCTCATAAAATTCTGAAATATAAAAAGAAAATACAATTGTCCCTGGGTATCCTCAGGGTATTGGTTCTAGGACTGTCCTTGGATACAAAATCCACCCATACTTAAGTCCCACAGTCGGCCGTTTGGAATCTGCAGACACAAAAAGTCAAACCTTCATATATGCAGGTTTCACGTCCTAAGGATTTTGTCTTTCTTTTCTTTTTTTTAAGAGAAAGGGTCTCGTTCTGTCACCCATGCTGGAGTGCGGTGTCACGATCATAGCTCATTGTAACCTCAAATTCCTGGGCTGAAGTGATCCTTCCACCTCAGCCTCCTGAGTAGGTGAGACTACAGGTGTACACCATGGTACCCTGCTAATTTTAAAATTTTTTGTAGAGATAGGTTCTCACTATGTTGCCCAGGGTCATCCTGGCCTCAAGTGAGCCTCCCGCCTTGGCCTCCCAAGGTGTTGGGATTATAGGAGTGAGTCACTGCGCTTGGCCTTTTATGGTATTTAAATTTGTTTTTCCTTACCAAGTTGTGAATTAAGTTTTATGGTATTTTTAACATATACAATTTTTTAAAAAGTTTATGGAGTCAAAACTGTTTTTCTTTGTCATCTGTGTTTTCTTCCATTACTTTTATGCTTTGAAAGCCCTTCTGCATACAGAGGACAAATGTACATTTATTCTTTATAGTTATTTTATGGTTTCACTTTGTTTTTACATTTAACTCTTTAATTTATCTGGAATTTATTTTGATAAATAATGTGAGGACAAAAAAATCTAACATTATTTTCCACCAATAGCCAATTGTCTCATAATTGTTTATGGAATAATATTTCCTTTCATCTCTGAATTTGTAATGCTGAGTTTATCAGACAGTAAATTCTTACATATTCTAGGGTCTGTTTCTGGGCTTTTTCTGTTCCATTGAGCTATGCTGCACCATTTTAATTATTATAGTTTTACATTTTTAATAACTGGGGGTTAAGAAAAACACACTTTTCATTTTTCAAAATATCCTTGGCTATTTTCACCTAGTTATTCTCCCTCATCTTAGTAGGCTCACCTGCTAAGGTTTTTATTTGGAAAAGCAATGTCTCTGCTGTAAACCAGCAGAGTGAGGCAGATCACTTAACCCCTCAGTGCCTTGGTTTCCTTATCTGTAAAATGAGGAAAAGAATATCTCTTTTTGCCCAACTTCTAGAGTGATTATAGGGATCAAATGAGAGGTTAGGAAAACCTTTTGAAAAGGCAAAAAATAGAAACCCATGTTTTTTTACAACTGCTATAGGCAATGACCCTGGAGGTCTTTGAATTAGGTATCCTGGGGATGGCAGGGTTGTTCTTTGTTTTGGAGGCTTTGGCATTGGACTTCCTCTTTCTTTTCACAGAGCGCTTTGACCATCACTGCCCCTGGGTGGGGAATTGTGTTGGAAAGAGGAACTACCGCTACTTCTACCTCTTCATCCTCTCTCTTTCCCTCCTCACAATCTATGTCTTCGCCTTCAACATCGTCTATGTGGCCCTCAGTGAGTATGGAGGGCAGTGCCTGTTGTTGGAGTGGGGGCAGGGTGGGGTGGGGGGAGACTTAAGGACAGCTTAGGGGGATGGTTGGGCTTCTTGGTGGGCTTTTACCATTGCGAAGGCACCTTAGGACTGGTTAGAAATGAGCACTGCTATCTGTTCTTGAGCAGGGCTGCAAACCTCAGCTCACATCAATAAGCATTTACTGAGTATGTTGGCTGTCCCCTGGCCATCTGCTGGGGGCTGGGGCCGTAATTACTTTTCTATAGCCAGAGTACTGGGCATTTCTGAGGTGATCCCAAAGGTTGGGGGTGCATTTTAGATCTGCATATCCTTTCTTCTGTCTTGTAAGACCTGCCTTATGCTAGGGGGTAGAAAGGGTTTTGTCTGAGAATGTCTTTTAGTAGCTTATGCTCTACTTTGGGAAATAGAAAATACATACTCACATGTGTGCACATGCACAACACACACATACAACAATCAAAGGGTAGATGGTATGTGGAGTTAAGAGAGTGGTCTTAAGACAGCTTCCTAGAAAAAAAAGAGTTCTGAGCTGGATTTTGAGGAAGGGAGGGGCACAAATTGGTGAGGAGATAGGATTTTTCTTGGTGTTTCTGATTTCTTTCATCTGTTAATATTGCCCTACATGTCCATAGTTGGGGGCTGGGAAAAAGGGAAAGGAGCCCCATGTTTGGCTTTTGCCCGACTCTAGTTCGGGCCTGGCCCTGCACTGGAAATGGGAATTCTTTAGTCATGATGCTACCAGCTTGGAGGTAAGATTCTTCACCCTTACCTGAGTGTGAGCTTCTCTCTTGTCAGTGTGTAACACAGGCTAGGGAGGGAAGGAAGTGAGTAGGCACTAGGATAGTGTGTAGTTTTGACTAAATTCACTAATTTTTCTCTCTACTCCTCCTCCCAATTTCACAGAATCCTTGAAAATTGGCTTCCTGGAGACATTGAAAGAAACTCCTGGAACATATCCTCCCCTGGCAGTATGTCCTTGTGAAGCCTTCTTAAACTACTTTCCAGCATGCTTTCTCCCCACAGTTCTCCCACTATCTATTTTTCAGACACCAGAGTGTGCCAAGGTCTAAAATAAAGAAAATGTAGTCTTAGTGGTAGCAACCAGAATGGAAGATGGCCAAGGCTTAGAGGGAGGTCTTTTTCTCACCCCCTTCTTGGCTGTCTCTCTCACAAGTCCTTGTGATCCCAGACTCAGCTCTGTTTTCTCTACTGGGCTGTACTTTGCCTCAGTACACCTCTTATGTTACTTAGTGGAAGCCCTGCCTTCCCTTATAGCTAAGGCTTATTTTGGACAGTGGCTGCATTTTTGTAAAGGAGATTCAGATGAGATTTCTATAAATCACATCCTCTTTTTATCTCACTAATTTTTCATTTATATAATTTATTTTTTGATGAAATTTTCATTGACAGTTATGGCCAACATTGTTTAGCTTGGGCCCCTCCTAAACATCCCCTTTAAAGAGCCAATGATGAATAAACAGACAAACACTTAATTACACTAGAGATGCTAGAGATCTACTCATAATGAATAAATAGGAATCCTGTACCTTTCATAAGGGATCTATCCAGCGAGTTCAGAATTCATCTGTTGATATATACAGATACTTGGCATTTTGTGATATACATTCCAAAAGGTAAAGATAATATGATTGGTGCCATGAACATGGGCTGAGGCCTTGAGTCCCCTGGTGTGGCTTTTTCAACATTCCTTAACCTCACCTCACTGTTCTAGAAGTCCTCATTTGCTTCTTCACTCTCTGGTCCGTCGTGGGACTGACTGGATTTCACACTTTCCTTGTGGCTCTCAACCAGACAACCAATGAAGACGTGAGTCAACTTTCTCTTCTCCTCACTACATATTCTTCTCCCAAAAGCCTGTTCTCTTGTTACTTGCTAGAGAACCAAGTCTCCAGGGCCTGGGAGAATAAGGCAAGCAGAAACCTGGTATGCAAGATTGTTAAATGAGATGCGTGGAAGAGAAAGCAGAGGGCTTTGTTTAGAGTTGCGTGTATGTAGGGCATTAGGAAGATGAGCTTGAAAAGTTGGGTGGGTACAAGGTCTTTAACTCTTCATAGGTACTCAAAGGCTAGCTGGTACCTCTGGATTTAGAATGGAGAGGGACAGTGCACTGAATGAATCCTTGCTTTTAAAAAGTACCAATTAATCCATACTCATTAAAGAAAATCAGAAAATATAGATGAGCAAAAAAGAGAAAATAAGCCCCTCTTACTTTATCTCCTAGATACATCACCTTTGTTAATGATATGATTTACATAGTCTTCTGCACTTGTCTAGACTTGTTTCTATCTTTGTATGTTTATATTAGGTATTTTTAAATGAAAATAATATAATCATTCAGTTATCTTCTTTTTTTACTCTATGGTAAACATTTTTTCATGGCTATGTATATATTTTTTATTGTGATAAAATATACACAATATAAAATGTGCCATCTTAACCATTTTTTATTTTATTTTATTTTATTTATTTATTTTTGAGACAGTCTCACTTTGTTGCCCGGGCTAGAGTGCTGTGGTGTCTGCCTATCTCACAGCAACCTCAAACTCCTGAGCTCAAGCGATCCTACTGCCTCAGCCTCCTGAGTAGTTGGGACTATAGGCACGCACCACCATGCCCAGCTAATTTTTTCTATATATTTTTAGTTGGCCAATTAATTTTGTTCTATTTTTAGTAGAGACGGGGTCTTGCTCTTGCTCAGGCTGGTTTTGAACTCCTGACCTTGAGCAATCCGTCTGCCTCAGCCTCCCAGAGTGCTAAGATTACAGGCATGAGCCACTGCGCCCAGCCTTCAATGTAATTTTTAAAGAGTTTTAATTTTTACTATTATTGTTATTTTTTAGAGACTGGGTCTCCCTCTGGGTCACACAGGCTGCAGTTCAGTGGCATGATCATAGTGCACTGCAACCTCGAACTCCTGGGCTCAGGCAATCCTCCTGCCTTAGCCTCCCTAGTAGCTGGGACTACAGGCGTGCACCACCATGCCTGGCTCTTCAATATAATTTTTTTTTTTTTTTTGAGACAGAGTCTCGCTTTGTTGCCCAGGCTAGAGTGAGTGCCATGGCGTCAGCCTAGCTCACAGCAACCTCAAACTCCTGGCTCAAGCAATCCTCCTGCCTCAGCCTCCGAGTAGCTGGGACTACAGGCATCCATCTGCCCGGCTGATTTTTTCTATATATATTAGTGCAATTAATTTTGTTCTTTATAGTAGAGACGGGGTCTTGCTCTTGCTCAGGGTGGTTTCGAACTCCTGACCTTGAGCAATCCGCCCGCCTCGGCCTCCCAGAGTGCTAGGATTACAGGCGTGAGCCACCGCGCCCGGCCTTCTTCAATATAATTTTTAATATAAGCCTTTGCTTTTATCTTGCAGATCAAAGGATCATGGACAGGGAAGAATCGCGTCCAGAATCCCTACAGCCATGGCAACATTGTGAAGAACTGCTGTGAAGTGCTGTGTGGCCCCTTGCCTCCCAGGTACTCAGGGGACCGAAGGGTCCTGGAGCTCCTAGGATGAGCAACTCAATCCAATCCTGTTACCTCGTCTGATGCATTATTGTGAATGTGGCCCCTTGGTGTCAAATAGGTCTTCCCAGGGCATGTCACTTGGTACCATATCTACATGTACCACAGACCATGGGGTGGTTATATGGAAGGATGATCTTTCATTCTTCTTTTATGTGTTTGTTCCCTGGTTAATGTGGCATTCCCTTGTTTGTGGAAGAAAAAGTGAATGGAGGATAGGAGGCTGTGCTAGGATCAGGCCAGATTGCCAAAAGACAGGTTTATGTTTTCCAGTTTACACATCAAAGTTCAGTGGGTGGGGTGAGTAGATGGGGGGAATGCCAAGTCCATTGTTAACTCTCCTGTCTCCTTCAGTGTGCTGGATCGGAGGGGTATTTTGCCACTGGAGGAAAGTGGAAGTCGACCTCCTAGTACTCAAGAGACCAGTAGCAGCCTCTTGCCACAGAGCCCAGTAAGTGTTCCTGACTTAAGGCTAAGTCGGTGATGGAGGGGGTGGAGGCTAACTTTATAGCTTGGAAATATAATTAGGCAATTTTATATCCTAGTCACCCTAGCTTCCCTGTCTTGGCTTCTGCCCCGACTTTGTCTTCAGATCTTTGTGCCCTTGAGGTAGATTAAGATTTATTCACATCTTTGGCATATATTACATAGCTACCATGTGCCAGCTACTGTGCTAGGTGCTGGGGTTCACACCAATGAACAAGGCAAATGATGGCCCTGCTCTCAAGGAGCTCATTGTCTAGTGGGGATGAGAGACAAGAAAATAGGCCATTGTTCAACATTGTCAAAAGTGCCTTGATGAGGGAAGCATAAAATGCTAGAGGAGGAAAGATAGGGGTCCGGGCATCATGTTGGATTAATGATATAGTTACCTTGGTAATCTTAGAAGGGGGCTTCCTCATTGGAATATGCAGATGTTGTGGAAACTCTCCCAGCTGTCCTGCTCAAGATATGCTTTATAAAGTATTTTCCTAAAAAGTTATTATTTGAACTTTCTTTTTTAAAAATAAGAGCTTTATTGAGATATAATTCACATACCATATGATCCCTATTTAAAACAAAATTCACTAGTTTGTAGTATATTCAGAGTTTAATAATCATCACAACAATCAATTTTAAAACATTTTCATTCCTCTCTCCCATAAAAATTGCTGTATCCATTAGCAGTCACTCTACCTTTCTCCCTAATTCCCCCAGTCCCATCCCTAGGCTACCACTAATCTACTAACCTGATATTTTGATTCTAGCCATCTTAGTGGAATGGATGTGAAGTAATATCCCATTGTGGTTTTTTTTTTTTTTTTTTTTTTTTTTTTTTTTTTTTTTTTTTTTTTTCATCACTTCTCAGCCTTTTGGCTAAAATCAAGTGAGCAACCTCAAACTCCTGGGCTCAAGCAATCCTCCTGCCTCAGCCTCCCGAGTAGCTGGGACTACAGGCACGAGCCACCATGCCCGGCTGATTTTTATATTATATATATTAGTTGGCCAATTAATTTATTTCTATTTTTATGGTAGAGATGGGGTCTCGCTCAGGCTGGTTTTGAACTCCTGACCTTGAGCAATCCGCCCGCCTCGGCCTCCCAGAGTGCTAGGATTACAGGCGTGAGCCACCGCGCCCGGCCTCCCATTGTGGTTTTGATTTGTATTTCCCTGATGACTAATGATGTTGAACAACTTTTCATGTGCTTATTGACCATTTGTATATCTTCTTTGGAGAAGTATCTATTCAGAGCCTTTGTCCATCTTTTAATTGGGTTATTTATCTTTTTTAGTGTCAAGTTGTTAGAGTTCTTCATATAATCTGTATACAAGTCCCTTATCAGATACATGATTTGTAGATATTTTCTCCTACTTTCTTGATGGTGTCCTTTGAAGCACAAAATTTTAAAATTTTGATGTGGCCCAATTTATCTATTTTTTCTTTTGTTGTTTGTGCTTTTAGTGTCATAACTAAGAAATTATTACCTAATCCAAAGTCATGAAGATTTATACCTCTGTTTTCTTATAAGAGTTTTATAGTTTTAGTTCTTACAGTTAGGTCTTTGATCCATTTTGAGTTAAGTTTTATAAATGGTGTGAGGTAGTGTGGGGGGGTCCACATCTTTCTTTTGCCTGTGGATATCCAGTTGTCACTGTACCATTTGTTGAAAAGACTATTCTTTTTCCATAGAATTGTCTTGGCATGGTTGTTGAAAATCAATCGACTGTAAATGTGAGAGTTTGTTTCTGGACTCTCAATTCTATTCTGTTGATCAATATGTCTGCTCTTATGCCAGCACCACACTGTCTTAATTACTTTGCCATTATAGTAAGTTTTGAAATTAGGAAATGTGAGTACTCCAACTTTATATTTCTTTTTCACAATTGTTTTGGCTATTCTGGGCCTCTTAAATTTCCATATGAATCTTAGGATCACCTTGTCAATTTCTTTAAAGAAGAAGCCAGCTGGAATTTTGATGGGGATTGCATTGAATCTATAGATCAATTTGGGGAATATTGTCATCCTAACAAGATTAAGTCTTCTGAGCCATTAACCTGGGCTGTCTTTTCACTTAGTTAAATCTTCTTTCATTTCTTTCAACAGTATTTTGTAGTTTTCAGAGTATAAGTTTTAGACTCCTTTTGTTATATTTATTCATAAGTATTTTATTCTTTTTGATGTTATTGTAAATGAAATTGTTTTCCTAATTTCATTTTTAGATTGTTTATTTGGAGTGTATAGAAATACAATTGATTTGTATATATTGATCTTGTATCCTGAAACCTTGCCAAACTTTTTTATTAGTTCTAATAGATTTTTAGTAGATTTGAACTTTGTTTTAAAATAGAATCCTAACTTTAAATGAATGTCTTTAGTAAGGTAGATAATTGTTCTCTACTTTGCTTTTCCTAAATTTTGAATTTTATTTTTATTATTTATTTATTTATTTATTTTGAAGCAGAGTCTCACTCTGTAGTCCGGGCTAGAGTGCCGTGGTGTCAGCCTAGCTCATAGCAACCTCAAAGTCCTGGGCTCAAGCAATCCTTCTGCCTCAGCCTCCTGAGTAGCTGGGACTATAGGCATGCACCACCATGCATGCCGGCTAATTTTTTATATATATTTTTAGTTGGCCAATTAATTTCTTTCTAGTTTTTTAGTAGAGATGGTGTCTCACTCTTGCTCAGGCTGGTTTTGAACTCCTGACCTTGAGCTATCCATCTGCCTCGGCCTCCCAGAGTGCTAGGATTACAGGTGTGAGCCACTGCACCCGGCCTTGAATTTTCTTTTTAAAGTCCAGAAACCCATGTTTATATATTATTGTCATAATTTTGAATATCACTTTTTTTGATGAGTCTGGTCTCAAATCATAACAATCTAGGTTAGTGATTCTTAGTTGAATGTGGGGAAGGGTGGTATTTTAGAATCAATTAGGGGCATTTTCCAACCACATATGATCATCTGAAGATTTTGACACCCCAGCTTCTTTGGTTTAGAATCATTATTCTAGTGAGCTGTGTGTTAGGACAGAAACAGGATTGAGAACCATTGGATCAGGCCTTGTTAGACAAGTACATTATGACATCTTGTTCTGAAGGGTGGGGGAGACCTGTGTAGTTATTTGTGGTCTCTGTTATTATCATGAATAATAATGGAAAATATATCCACAACAGACAGTTAAGTATATAACTCAAATAAACTTCAGTTGCATTCTGTTGAGAAGACGATAGCCTGATCTTGGTTCTGAGTTTGATGTCGGTGGCTGCATCTCTGTAGCATCACTGTGGTCAAGGGGTTCAGAGAAAGAGTTCAGTGTCTCTGGATTATCTGCATTTGGATTTTGAGGGAGAGCTTTGTGTTGAACCTGCTATCTTTTCCTTCTCAGAGCCCAACAGAACATCTGAACTCAAATGAGATGCCAGAGGACACCAGCACTCCCGAAGAGATGCCACCTCCAGAGCCCCCAGAGCCACCACAGGAGGAGACTGAAGCTGAGAAATAGCCTATCTATGGAAGAGACTTTTGTTTGTGTTTAATTAGGGCTATGAGAGATTTCAGGTGAGAAGTAAACCCGAGACAGAGAGCAAGTAAGCTGTCCCTTTTACTATTTTTTTCCCCCCTTCGGTCTTCAGTCACCCAATTGCACACTGGCATTTTCTTGCTGCAAGCTTTTTAAAACTTCTGGACTCAAGGCAGTAGCAGAAGATGTCAGTCATCTCTGGTAACTGGACAAATGGGTCTCTTGGGCCCTGACACTGCTTTTCCATGGCCTTGGCCACAGGGTCTCCTTGGACTCCCCTCTCTTCCTTCTAGATCCTAGCTCTTCTGCTTGGGGTCATTGGTCTCATTCTGGGGTTAAAGGTTCTGGGGTTAAAGGCTCAAATCCTCCCAAGATGCTGCATGTCTGGAGTCTAGAGGCAGTCACAGAGACCTCTGGCTAGGGGATCCTAACTGGGTTCTTGGAGCCTTCAAAATTGAAGAGGATGGAGAGTGGGGTTGGAGGATTCTCCTGGCTACCAAGTGCCAGCATTGCCAGCTAATCCTTTTAGGAATGGGGCAGGTAACTTCCACTTGTATTTATTCGTGTAGCTTCTCCTTTATCCCCAGACCACTCCCTAACACCCAAGCCCACTTTTCCCATTAGATATATGTAAGTAGTCGTAGTAGAGATAACAATTTACATTTCTCGTAGACTACCCAGAAACTTTTTAATACCTGTGCCATTCTCAATAAGAATTTATGAGATGCCAACAGCATAGCCCCTCACACTCTCTGTCTCATTCTCCCTTTTTCTCATTAGCCCCTTTTAATTTGTTTTCCTTTCTACTCTTGCTCCCATTGGGAGCAGGACTGGCAGTAATAAAAGTCTGCACTTTGGTGGTTTCTTTTCCTCAGAGGAAACCCAAGTGCTCACTTAAACACTACCCCCCTCAGACTCCCTGTGTGAGGCCTGCAGAGGCCCCTAATGCACAAATGGGGAAACCAAGGCACAGAGAGGCTCTCCTCTCCTCTCCCCTCCCTCGATGTTCCCTCAACAACAACAACAACAACAACAACAACAACAAAAAGGCTAACCAATGCTTCCATTAAGCCTCGGCTGAGTAAGCGAAAGCCCAGCACTGCTGCCCTTCCGGGTAACCCACTCCAAGGCCTCAGCCCACCTTGGGCTATGGTAACCACACCAGGGGCTTCTTCCAAGCCCCACTCTTCCAGCACTTCCACCAGCAGAGTCCCAGAGCCACTTCATCCTGACTGGGGGTGGGCTGTGGCCCCCCGTCAGCTCTGCTCAGGACCTGCTCTATTTCAGGGAAGAAGATTTATGTATTATATGTGGCTATATTTCCTAGAGCACCTGTGTTTTTTCTCTTTCTAAGCCAGGGTCTTGTCTGGATGACTTATGGGGGGAGTATAAACCAGAACTTTTAATCTATTTGAAGGCAATTAAACTGTGTCTAATGCAAACTGCCTGCCTCCTCCTTCCCCCTTCTATTTCAAGAATGTTTTTGTGTAGGGTGGGGGTGGGGGTTGGAAGGGGTTGCTTGTTACTATCCACACTTCCGTTTCCCAGGGTACCTTTGGGTTGGAGAGAGAGCTCCCAAACTCTCCATTGATCTATACTGCATTCTGGGCTGAAGTTTATCTTACTCTGGACTATGAAGAAAGGACTTTCAAAGCAATATACAGTATGAACAAGATCAGGAGGGTAGGGGGATTATATTTACTTAGGAGAAAAAGCTCTATATTAGGATGTTGTTTTCAACAAGATGGATGCTATTAATTGCAAGTGAGTCTTGGTTATTAAAGCAGGCTCATCAGGGCCTCCCCTTGGAAATATTTGGTTAGTGGTCTTTTACAAGTGACAGTATGTATTTCTTTTTAAATGGTGTGTAATCCAGATTCCTTACCAATTCCTATCTCACACTTCCCAGTTAATCGGAATTAATGAAATTTGGCTGCTTCCAGATTTTTCTCTATGTCTTCTTATTTTCTTTGTAGCAGGAATTGAGTTGAGCATCCCTGAGGGAGAGAGATTAGAAGAGAGACTGACTCAGATTCCTCTTCTGCTTCTCCTTTCCCATTCTTTTTCTGGCTGTTTTTTTATTTTTTATTTTTCTCACAGATTTTAGATAATTCAAAAGAGCTCCAAGCCCGGAGAGTTTGGAAGTTATTAAGTTTTCCCATTAACCTGGCACTCATATGAACCACTTTTTAGTCAGTACTCAGCCCATCTCCTCTCCTGGGCCAAGATGAATTTCTGTTCTCCCTCAACTTACCTCAACCACTCTCCCGCTGACCTTTAGGTTAGTCACAGAAGCTTTTTTTTTCTGATGTGAAGGGTCAAAATGGAAATATTTTATCTCTAATGTGAAATGATCTTTTTAAAGTTTCTGCTTTTTCATACTCCCTTCCCTCTTTCTTTTCCTTTATAAATCTTCTGTATTTAAGACCTTGGCCTGAAGCTCTGTCCCATTCATACCATGCACCAGCTGGGACTGTCCCTAGTCTAAGTTCTGATCAGAGGAGAGATTGAAGAATTGATCTTTCCGAAGGGGAAAAGGGCCTTATATTGTTTGATCTTTTCAGTGGCCGACACTCTCTCCAACTCTCCCCTTCCTTCCCCTTCCTCAAGCTTCCTATGCACCCCACTTCCCCAAGCCAGGATGGTTGGCACTGATCCCAAACCTCTCGGGGCGGGTAGAATTTGGCTCTGTTGGGCCGATTTTTTCATGTCCATTTGGCTCTGAAGCCTTCCGGGCCCTAGCTGAGATCATCATTCCCCTGTTTCCTTTTTTTCCCAGGAGCAGGGTTGGGTTAGAGGTGAGTTCTAATTCTGTAGCAGCTAAATTCCATTCTTTCTGTCCTGACTCTCCTGCCTTTACCTCCAAGGCTCCTTTTCCTACTGACCAAATCTCTTTACCTTGTTGGAGAAAAAAAGTATTTTGTTTTTAAATCTATTTTCTAACTTAAATGCAATTTAATATGTAAATCTCTGCACTTTTATGTGAGCCTACAAATGTGTATGTGTTTGGGGTTTTTCACTCTCTGGTATTTCTTAATAAAGAAATCTTTCTTTTGGGGGGAAGCCAATTAATGAAGGAGACTTGAATGGTTTTAGAAATGCAGGGCTGTCTGTTTCTTTGTGCTTCTGCCTCATTTCTTTACTTGTGCCTAAGTGTGAGTGATCAGCCTCCCTCCCTCACCCTTTGACCCCCCTCCTTTGAGAGAGCCCTCAGCTTAGTGGGGCAGAGAGAGGGACCTGTCCTGTGTCTGGTACCCCTCTGGGACCACTTGGATTGGCTCAAGTGGTAACCTAGCAACCTAGCCCCCTTCCTTCTCCCTGTGGCCTGGCCCTGTTAGTCCTTTTCTTCCAGCTCAGTTCATTTTATACTCCTGGGGCTGGGGCCAGGCTAGGGTAAATCACCAAGGGAGCACAGTAAATGGTTTTAAAAAATGATAATTTGTTCTCATGCCATGGTGCTACTAAAGAAGAGCCATGTTCCCAATAATTCAAAAACATTTGCGTCAATTTTAAGAATATGTTCTAGGAATCTCTTGCTGTTCTTAGGTGATAGGTTTTAGAAGTAGTGCCAAAGACTAAAACTCAGAATATCATTAGTTTTAAAGGATACAAGCCCAACTCACACAAAAAAATCATTGTGGATTTCATGTTTTGAATAAATATGATAGGGGAATGGGAACTATAAAATCTGCATTTGTAACACTTTGAATGTCCTACCCAACATTAATGTAGGTGGAAAACCCTGGTATAATTAGCAGGGCCTGATTATTTTACAAATGAACACAAATGTTTTTACAGTTTTAATATATACATTGAGGGCCGGGGGCGGTGGCTCACGCCTGTAATCCTAGCACTCTGGGAGGCTGAGGCAGGTGGATTGCTCAAGGTCAGGAGTCGAAACCGCCTGAGCAAGAGCGGACCGTCTCTACTATTAATAAAAGATTAATTGCTAACTAATATATATAGAAAAATTAGCCGGGCATGGTGGTGAATGCCTGTAGTCCCAACTACTCAGGAGGCTGAGGCAGAAGGATCGCTTGAGCCCAGGAGTTTGAGGTTGCTGTGAGCTAGGCTGACACCATGGCACCCACTCTAGCCTGGGCAACAAGCGAAACTCTGTCTCAAAAAAAAAAAAAAAAAATATAATATATATATATATTATATATACACACATGAGTTTCAAGGAATGCACAACTGTGTAAATTGCTGAAGATGGTATTTCTCTTGTTTAGAACTTTACTAAGAGTTGCTCGTGACTTTTGAATCATGTCGCTGGCACGCAGTGCCATTCATGAGGTGTTTAAGTTGCCATTATTTGGATGAGTCTTCATTTGCAGTGATTGCATTCACAGTGATTACATATAGTAAAGCAGCTCACTACTATTTATTATATTTTTTATATAGTTTTGCCCCAGTATTTGTATATGAAAGTATATATTATCTTTTTTTTTTTTTTTTTTGCGACAGAGTCTCACTTTGTTGTCCAGGCTAGAGTGAGTTGCCGTGCGTCAGCCTAGCTCACAGCGAACCTCAACTCCTGGGTTGATGTCTTCTCCTCAGCCTCCCGAGGTAGCTGGACTACAGGCATCCCACCATGCCCGGTAATTTTTTATATATATATCAGTTGCCAATTAATTTCTTTCTGATTTTATAGTAGAGACGGGTTCGTCCGCTCAGGCTCGGTTGACTCCTGACCCATATGAGCAATCCGCCCGCTTCGGCCTCCAAGGAGCTAGGATTACAGGCGTGAGGCACAAGCGCCGGCCGGTATATTATCTATTATAAATTACTTCCTTTTATTTTTTCTTTATAGTATAATTAGTATATATATTTGCTATTCTTGAAATTATATGAGCAGGTCATATTAACTGTGAGGTTCATTTCAGTGGCAAAGGTATATATATATTTTTTATTCGGCAATTATGTACAGATTTTAAGGTTTCAATAAATGGCCATTTCCCCCCTCCCCAAAAGTCTGAGTCTCCATCATGACCATCCCCTAGATGGTGCACATCTCACTCATTATGTATGTATATACTGCCCCCTCCCCCCTCACCCTGCCAATACCCTATTACTGTAGGACCTATGTGTCCACTTAGGTGCTACTCAGTTAATACCAGTTTGCTGGAGAATATACCTGGTGGCTTGTTTTTCCATTCTTGGATACTTCACTTAGTAGTATGGGTTCCAGCTCTAACAGGAGAATATAAGATGTGCTATATCACCATTGTTTCTTAGAGCTGAATAGTACTCCATGGTATACATATACTACATTTATTAATCATTCTTGGATTGATGGGCACTTGGCTGCTCCACAAGCCTTGCAATTATGGCAAAGGGTATATTATAAATACTGTATATGCCAAGGAAGGGTTGGAGCTGCTAGGGTTGAGAACCATTGACTAGATTATCTCAAAGGTCCCTTTCTAACGTAAATATTTGGAAAGCTTAGAGAGAAAATAAACAAACATCTACCTCTCCTCATACTTTTACTGTGCTTTTTACAATTTTTTTTTTTTTTTTGAGACAGAGTCTCACTCTGTTGCCCCAGCTACAGTGCTGTGGTGTCAGCCTAGCTCACAGCAACCTCAAACTCCTGGGCTCAAGCAATCCTTCTGCCTCAGCCTCCTGAGTAGCTGGGACTACAGGCATGTGCCACCATGCCTGGCTAATTTTTCTTATATATTTTAGTTGTCCAATTAATTTCTTTCTATTTTAGTAGAGACAGGGTCTTGCTCTTGCTCAGGCTGGTTTCAACTCCTGACCTTGAGCGATCTACCGCCTCAGCCTCCAGAGTGTAGGATTATAGGCATGAGCACCACGCCGACTACAATTTTAAATAATACATGCTCATTGTTCAAATTGGGAAAGTATAGGAAAGTAAGTAAGATTTTTAAAAATCACGTGCTAACCTCATCACTCAAGAGTATGATAGTCACGTTAATGTTTTGGTGTATTTCTTTCAATTTTTTTCCTGTACAAGTATATTTTTTAATAGTAATGGAATTCAACTTAAATATTAGTTTCGATAAACTGCCTTAGTATTTTCCATATCATTAGAAATTATTTGAAATGACTTATATAACTTCATAGCATGTACATAACCCTCCTAATGTCAGCATTAGGGATGTTTCCATTTTTCATTGATTGGAAATATGCTGTGATGAACTTTCTTATATATGGGCACATTTGTGATTATTCCTTAGGATAGATTCTTATAAGTGAATTATTGATAGAAGGCAATGCTTTTTTAAAGGCTCTGATAAATACGCCAATTGCTTTACGAAAGGTATCTCTATTTTGCCAACAGTGTAACAGAGAATCTGCTTCAACCCATCTCATTTAAACATTTGGTAATTTGATAGTTGTAAACTTACATGTCAATGTCATTTAGTTTCTATTTCTTTGGTTAATAGTGAGGTTAAAGACTTTCTGCACCTCTCATCTGGCCTTAGGTTATTGCATTTGCATTTCTTCTGTGAATTTCCATCCAAGGCCTTGTCTGTTTTTCTTCTGGTATTAGAATGTTTTCTAATTGATTAATAAGTTAGATCTTAGCACTCACACTTCACCATGCCAGGAAATGAGGGCCTTTGATTAGAAGTAACTTTACAACTCCTAGAACATGGAGTAGAATCACCTCCTTGAGATTCAATGCTCTTCACTTTCTTCATGTCCCCTTCTCACGGCCTTTTCTGCCAGCCACTGCCCATTGTCAGCTATTTGGCTGTTTCAGCTTGGCTAAAAGGGTTGGAGTTTTGTGCCCAAATAAGAGACATGATAGTTATTTGTTATAAAATATAGGTTCTGTTGAACAACATAGCTGAAAGGAACATATTGATCATGTAGTCCATGATTTTCTCTCTCCCTCTCTCTCTCTTTCTCTCTCCCCCTCCCTCTCCCTCCCTCTCTCCAAATTTAGTACCATGACTTACCCAAGATCACATAGAGAGTTACTTGTCTACCGCCATACCACCCTGAACATGCCCGATCTTGTCTGATCTTGGAAGCTAAGCAGGTTCAGGCCTGGTTAGTACTTGGATGGGAGAGTTACTGGTAGAGCCAAAACCAAAACCCAGATGTACTGACTCTCAGTTCAGAGAGCTTTCTGGCCTAATGCACTGCTACTCTGTCAAGCAAGTATACACAGATAAGAATTTGAATAACTACAGATGTCACTTGAATGAAATGACACTTTCATTTATTTAACATTCAGTAAATAAATACTTGTTGAATACTGTGTGCTAGGGTTAACTTTAGGAGAAATTGCATTGCCAACTCCATTCTCTCGTTAATTTGAGAAACAGCAATGCTTTTAGGATTATTTGCCATTTTGGATTAATATTACTGATGAGCTTTCCATTTTAGGTATACAGAAGACTGACAATATATAGTAGGGCTGATCTGGGGGTGGTTGTTGGGTTTTTGTTTTCAACTTAACTCTCTTAAATCTTTCTCCAGACCCCTGCACTTAGGTTGAACTAATGGTGGGTTTCTTTAGCACAGAAAGTCAGGAAGTTGCCTTGCCGGGTTCCCACAGTCAAGTTGGCTGTCCCTTTGTGAGGACCATTGCCATGGGCTCTTTCTGACGCTATCCCTGGCAGGTCCCAGAGGCAATGGTATACAAATGCTATATTGGTCACTGTGAAGTTATAGGAAAAGGTGAAACTTACATATCAAGTGCTATAGAATTCCATTTATTTAGGTCCTTCCTGGAGGAGAAGTCTTGGCTGGGTCTAGAGGGGAGGTAGTTCCTTCCCACTTGATTGTGTTGTCGGCTGAATAATATGTAATGTGGTCCACGTTGTGTGAGAAGCTAAGGTAGCCTCTATTGTGAAGGAGAGGTGGGAGAGCCACTTCTTTTCCCAGCTGGGAAACCTCATACCTCATCCTGAGTTTCCTGACTTGGGAGGGGGGAAAGTTTGGGGCCTTGTTGAGACTATGGTGGTCAGTACTCTTTTTTCCCCTCAAAAAAACCCTTATTTAGCCTTTGTTTTAATGCCCTGGGTCTCTAATAGCCTGCAGCCTCCACTTCTGTGAAGAGCCTGGGCAGGGAGCTCT